GATCATGACGGCGCTCGAAATTTTACGATGCCGAGTTTCCCCATCCTCCGCTTCGATGGAATATATGAATTTCGGATTCTGACCTCCGGGTTACCGCATTGGGCGAATCCCACTCCTTGACTCCGGTGCGTTTTATTGGACCGACTCAGATTCTGATTTTCAGCTTACCGCCCAGGTGTGTTTTCTAACAGTAATTCGGATTTCAATCTTGGATCATGATATTCGCAATACTAGAAACCCAATATGTGAGTGACAATCTATGACCGACATTCCATATTCTGTATTGTTGCAGTCTGGTTTTACATATCACCATGTTAGGGTTTCTCAAAATTTTAGGAAAATGGATTACTTCTGGTAACTTACTGGCTTATTTTTTCCGACACACAAACTGAATTCTTTTGAAACATTTTAGTTTTGTCTGAGAGTCACTAACCCCGAAACCTAAAGAAAATTTTCAAATATACTTATAACTAAATTGTGATATATAATATTAACAACTTAAAATCTTGTATGTCAGTAGACCGCCGAATATACTAAAATCTTATCGCATATTTATTTGTATGGCACGTTGTGGACACTATTGTCCCTGAATTGTGAACTCTTATCTCTCTCAAATTCCTTGTTTAACAAAGGAAAACAATCTTTGTAACCGTAGCAAAACACTGATAACCTGTTATACACAACCCTCTTACACCCCTCTACCCCACCAAGCACTGCAGGCAGGAAAAGAAGACTTTGATGAGTCTCCCCTGTCCCCAACCGTCCCGGTATATCCATCATCTCGTAATAAGGCGTCCTGAACATCTGCTTTTTGAGAATCCTAACAACAGGAATTATTGCCCCCCCACCCTTCGCCGAAACCCAACAAGCTCAATCAACTTAATATACTATCATCGAACAAACCCAACTGAACAATCAACCATTCTTCATCTTCGCAGAACACAAACGCCATACAATGAACCATACAGACCCCGATATTACTACATCTACTCAAGGTTTGTCCTCCAGGAATCAAACGTCGGAATAGACCTGAACTATATGTTTTGGTTAGATTAGTGCAGGTAGTCATTGTATTACTCTTATTTCAAAGTGGAATCAAACTGCTAAATTCCTATAAAAGAACCCGGTACCTTTTCAGAAAGTGTAGTAAAACAAGTGATAATAATGATTCGATTGAGTGCGGAAATAATTGTAACACCGGAGGATCCCTGTTATATGAATACAGCGGTGCAGATTTTCTCGTCAAGAATTGATTTCTAATTGAAGATATCGCGAGTGCTTGTAGAGCACTTTGGATATTCCTAACAGTCATCAGAACGACTTCCTCCAAGTACCCCTCCAGTACAGCACTGCCTGTACTAAAGCGCCTATGACTCCCAACACGATTTGAAGAAGATGGAGACACTAATGAGTGTAAGATCTCTTCCTTACTCTTAACCCCACTGCCACCGCGAACTCGGACTAGTTAATTGACAACTGTTACCTAAATAGCCTGGAAAGGTTTCCTCGGTTCTCCCGAAATCTCCCCTGGGAGGAGCAGTCCTCGGTGGGTAGAATTTCATTTCCCCGAGTATCATACTGACAATTTTGAAGCACAAAAGAAGCATAAGGCAATTTAGGTATCTGAGGCGGAAGAAATAATCGATACTCACCACTCAGACTATTATGATGCTCCGGAGAACGATCACGAGAGCTCTTAAGAGCATGAGGATGAACCGTATGATGAACCTCAGGCCCTGGCCTTAATGTTGCATCCAGAGGTTTCAGATTGTTGGAAAGAGACCTCATACAGTCCAACCAACCACTGCGATAGCACTGGGCAACATTGAAAGGAAACCAACTGCCGTGGTAGCGGAGGTAATTACCTTTTCTAACGTATCGGTGGACGTGGTACAGGTTGGACTCTATTTCTCCAATCAAGGTTTTTTAATAAGTCAGTATTAGTGGTTAACAATTCAGAGAGGAACTTGTCGGGGAACAAAAGTAATACGTAACGTAAACAAATGAGAGCAGTACCCACTCTAGTAAACAGTCAAAATGCATACTAGGGAGCACCATGGCATCCCAGAGGGCACTCCCAATACTCTCACAGTCTAGGCCCTCAGCACTTATTTATCTACATTAGTATAACTCTTCTATTTGCTATATCAATTTTTCCTTCATGCACTCTAGAAACGGAAAGTCGTCTCCCAGCTACCGGATATATTATTCTTAACCGAGTAGCAAAGTAATTGGAAAGCTCTTTGTGAGCAGTCATTACAGGAAATATCATATATTGTATTTTAAATACTTCAATGGGGTAAGAATGCTAGCGGCTAGGGATCCGGAATTCCTAGAGCGTATAACCCCTGTCGTCATTTGGCTGATATTGACAGTGATCTAGTAAGGCCACTGGGCGTAGTCTACAGGGAGTTACTTGAAGCCTGAAAATTTTCAGTAAAAGAATGAGAGCGTTGTGAGTAATTATGCCCCGATGCCCTGATTGATATGGCGAGTGCCTTGGGAGCAATGCCGGAAGCTATTAGGGTTATACGGGATTGCCCAACTGATATCCAAACTCGAGTAGAAACATTCAAAAGTATGAAGAAGGGATCGAAGGTGAGAAATAAACAGAACCGGGAAGCAACCTTGGAGGTAATTAAAGATAACATTTGAGAAAAGGAATGATACTTCTAGATTCGGGTATTGCGAGTTGTATTCTAAATGATGACCCTAATGGATAGGAGATAAAAAGGAGTAACTATTGAGGTGTTATTGGATGACGGTTTTAACAAGGACGATGAAGCGTTGGCTGCGGATCTTGACAAATTCCGAGATGTTTAGAGAACACCCACGAGTGATTTAGGAGATCGGGATGGTTCCAACAGCAAACAATACAAAGTGATTAATGCCCAACTTCGCGGTATTGACACCGAAGATGAGGGGGAGGAGGAAGTAGAGTAGCTGAGATTACTTGTAGCGAGGGATTTTGAAAGGAGTTGGAGCAGGATGTGTAAAACAATTGCGAGTGCTAAAGCAGATAGTGGAGTATTTGTTTTTCTCCATATATGGTATTAGGGTAAGTTAGGATATTTAAATAGCATATCATTTGAGTATTAGGTGGAGTATCAAGGTCTTGAATAGACCAATGCTAAAGGTTCAGTCGAGTATGCTATGGAGGCAGTAGAGATAGTCTTCCAAATGATGTTTTGGTAATCTCATGGGAGAATCGTGAATACCAGAGGCTGGTTACGTGAAGAGGTCTGTATCAGGCGAGAATGAGGCACCGACACATAGGAAGTTATACATCGGGCGTGAGGCAGCTTGCAAAGCACCTGATCTGGCAAAGTCAGGAGGTGTCAGGCCACTTAATCTATCCTTGGGACAACCAGGGCAGTCGGGAGTAATACAGGAGGAGTAAGGATAAAAAAGCGAGCAAGTGGTGTACCCTCTGGATATTAGTCTAAAGGGCGGAAATCAATCCAATTATCTAAGCATGATTACAACTGAAACCATAAATTATCAAGAGGAACTTGAAATTTTAGTTTATCAACAAATCAGATTACATCAGAAAGCTACCGTATGTCTCCAGAGATTTCTACTTGTCTCTAGAGACAGCTGCTAAGGTGAATTGTCTCCTCAAATCCCCCGTGGATCCTCGTGTCTCGCTTACTCCCTTGAACCTCTGGAGCTGCACTGTTTTCTCTGGGTGCTCTACAGGGACATCACTCACGAGCTTTATTGAACACTGAACACCTGTACCAGAGTCAGTTGGCGGGTCGGATAAAACGTTGTCAGAATACAAAATAATGATTAAAAACACCGGAGAGCGTTTCAAGTGTTATATACTGCTTGAGGAGCCTTGGCCACAACTAGACTGTCTTATAGTTAATATTCGAAGATTTTGGCCAGAAGCAAACAATCATTTTAATACAACTTCAAATCTGACTAAAAGTTCTAGAACATACGTGAGTACGTTTAAAGCCTTCTAGAAGCTTTTGGGAGCCCTTGCTTGTGCGACTTGGTTTAAATTGTATTTTATAAGTGAGATTAAACCTTATTTATGCTACCAAATACTATATGGCGGAGGGTATCCTCTATGGTATGAATTTGCTTCTTACCGGTGATAAATGGGCCAACAAAGTCAATTATTAACTCGAAAAGAACGGTTTCATTAGTGACCCTGACAAGTATTCGGTAAAGATTTATTGTTTTCGGTTAGCATTTTAGAAGGCTCCAGTGGACTTCAGACAGGCAGTTGGCAATTACAGGTTCAAGAAATCCTGTACATGATATTTCTGAAGTATTACAAAGACGAAAAGATGCGTGGTGCCAAGGATCCTGATTTCATCGATGGTATATTTCCGGAACTCATATACATGTTCTCCCCTGGGATCTGGTTTGAACTCTGATTTTGTACAACTGGAGATTACGTAGAAGGTGTGCACTTCAACGTGAGTCAGAATATAGATAACATCTGTAACGCGTCTCTAGCCCTGTTTAAGGCTCCTGCTGACTTTTGAATGTCAAGCAACGCATTCTAGGGTGATGGTTACATGGAAGAATAGAAGTGTACCGAAAGAAGTGGACACTCTAGAGGTGATAGGAGAAACGATTGAAGAGAAGGTGGGACAGAAGGCAGACGACGAGGCATTGGCAGCAGATATCACTGCGTGGATGGCGGTAATGGTCCATCGCAAGGCTCAAGGAGATCGAGCTACGGTCGGGCTTAGGAGGTAGACAATATTGGCCTTTCCCTATGATTGGATGGGAGTGCAAGGGAGCTAGGTGAAGCGGCAAAGGTTACACCAACGGCCTCTGAAGCCTAAGGAAGGGAAAACAATCTCATGGTTGAGAGTTATAATTTGTTCAATGTATGAATAGCGACAGGTATCAATATAAGGCTGGCTCAACTCTGCCGGCGACCACGCCACCGTAATCGTGGGACCCTCGTCGGGACCCCCTCGTCGGGACCGCCCGTGAAAGGGGAAAGGGTTCCCATGCGCTGGAGGGCGCCCGCCATGCAAATCCTGGGCAGGGTCCCACGATTACGGGGTCCGACAACGAAAGGGTACCGAATCCAGGGTCCCGACGACTGCGGGTCCCAACGCAAAGGACATCCAACCTCGGTGAGCTCATACCAATACACCGCTCGCTGACATTAGCAAGCTCGCCTATTACCCAGGGCGCAGCCCCTACGTCCTGGCGGGCATTCTGCGCCACGAGCGCCCAGCGCGTCCGGCACCGCCAGAGTACAACCCTCGCGCCAGGCTCCGCCGCAGGACCGTCCCACTCTCTGGGACCACCAGGAGATATGGCTCACGTCCGGAGGGCACTCGCCAATCCTCTGGTCGCCTGGGCCGCCATGAGATTCCCTCCCCCTCCGGAGACGCTAGGATGGAGTGACTCCGCCCACAGCACCTAGGAACTTTTGCTTCTTTTGATTACGTCAGTAGTACACGCGAGCACTTCCCAATGCTCTCACAGTTTTCTTGAATGCTCTCACGGCACGACGAATGCTCTCACGGCACGACGAATGCTCTCACGGCACGGCGAATGCTCTCACGGCACCGCGAATGCTCTCACGGCACCGCGAATGCTCCCGCGAATGCTCCCGCGAACGCTCCCGCGAACGCTCCCGCGAGGGCTTCCGCGAGTGCTCCCAGAGCACTCACCAATGCTCACAGAGCTGAGGCATTCGTCATACCCACTCAAGGTGAGGCAACCCTCATTTGGGCTCCTTTGGATTGATACACCGTCCTCAAAGGATAGGAAGGCCGCACCAGTCCCTCAAAAGATATCTAACGTGGGTATCCTCAACGCCGCTGTACGGTCAGTCGCGGGATACTGATACGAGCACTGTCCTGTATACTGGTGACGACTACCCAACCTTTGACGGACGTGTATGTTTCTGTCGATTCGTGAAAGGCATAATTAGCCTTGAGGTTGAGGCCATGGTACGGCTCGTCTGAAAAGCTCAATGTCCATGCATAAGCAGCAAACATGGACTGGCATTGACCTCCTGGAGCGAGCTTGCTGGATAGCCAGACTCAGATACTGAGCGGCCGAAACTTTACCTCCTTCTTCCAATCCGCATGCATAGCAGAACGACACGAATTTTGAATTAGAGAGTCCAATTGGGTCTAACGTTCCTAGAGCACTCAAGAATGCCCTCACGGCTTTACAAGTATTCAACTAAATTCATTCCACGTACGCAAGTCTATCCTAGTATTTACCAACCAATTACCAGTCTCCACCTCAAACAAATGGGCCATTCCCAATATACTCCGAATATTAACGACCCACATCCTCTTCCTCCTCCTCCTACAAACCTTCAGGAGCCCATGTGAGCTATCAGCGATACCACGATCCTTTGCCTCGAGTAGCTCCACTATACATAGTCTATGTGCTCGCCCCCCACTGTCCCGCAGCTTGAACAAAGCCTCGACACGTCCTGGTAAGCGTCCCGAAACACTCCCCACTCCTCTGAGGACGCTACCGACACCCATACCCAATCCTTTCTTATTTTCCCTTTCCTAAAAGCCGCGTTTCCCGTACACCTGATATTGTGAACCTCGTACACCTCAGGTCTTTGGAAGATTGGTATCGGAACCTGCAAACATGTGAACATCTCTACCCGGCGCTCTAAAATGCTCTCAGAGCTTCCGGCAAAGCTTTGAGAGCATCCCGCATCCTCTGCATACTCCTTTATCAGGCGATATAACGTGGTATGGCTTATTTGCAGTCCATCCGCAATATTGAAAAGTCTTTCCGATTTCGTGGAGGGGTTGCAAAGACGCCTTAGAGGCAGCCGGCCTTCTACTATGGATCCTTCATTTGGTGTTTTTTTCCGGTCTTCGATTTTAAAAATCTCAAGTAACTCCTTCAGGTTATCTCGATGGCTCCAAAGGATGTCGTCAGTGCTCTCAGGACCTCCAACAATGTCTTTCAGATTCAGCATTCGAATCTCTAACGCCAACCGCCGCCCCCCATAGTCCAGTATCTGCGTTGCAGCATCGACCTTGTTGGATGCTCCGTATGCCTCTTTTATCTGACGTACATGGGCGAGTTCGCTGATGTCGGTGGAGTACTGGGGAATGCTCCCAAAGCGCTCGACATGTTCCCGATAGTGCGTTAACACGTGCAATTTGATGAAGTTGAAGTGAGACCTTTCCCGTATCTCGCGAATCTCCTCCAAACCTCGCTGAGCGCTCTGGGAGCCTGAGGTCTTCACAGCTTTTGTCCGATCTCTCGCATCCTTAACCGTCCTCTTGTGCGCCCGGAATTCTAAAAAGATATCCTTGTGCTTATGGAAATCCTCGAGATAGCTCTCCATATAATTCAGTGTGCTCGTCGTATGACTCCCATACTGCGCCATTAAGTGGAAGTCGATTAAGCCTCGTACACATTTCAATGCCTTTGCGAAGTCGCCCCTGACAGCCACCCCCGGGTTTCTCAAAGCAGCCGCGAGTGCTCCAAGAACGACCCGCCCCAGATTTCTCATCTCCTTCCCTTGCCATTGGGTTGTGGCACGATATGCCTTGTTCGGTACTGCCAGTCCAGGGTAAGGCGCAATCGAGGCCCAAGCCTTGTCAAATTCCTCCAATCGATTGTGCTTCTTCAAGAAAGCCTGAACCC